CCAACCCCCTGATCGGCCCTGCTCTGTGCATGACAGGGTATGGAGCCCCAACACCCCTGATGGGCCCTGCTCTGTGCGTGACAGGGGGTGGCGCCGCAACCTCCCCATCGACCCTGCCTTGAGTGTGATAGGGGGCGGTGCCCCAACCCCCCAATCGGCCCTACCCTGAGCGTGACTGAGGGTGGCATCGCAACCTCCCAATCCGCCCTGCTCTGTGCATGACAGGGGGCGGCGCCCCAACTCCCCAATCTGCCCTGCTCTGAGCCTGACCAGGGGCTGCACCTAGGGATTGGGCGTGCCCTCTGCCACCCGGGAGCAGGCCTAAGCCAGCAGGTCGTTATCTCCCGAGGGGTCCCAGACTGCGAGAGGGCACAGGCCAGGCTGGGGGACCCCCCTCCCCCTGCCCCCCGAGTGCACAAATTTTTGTGCACCGGGCCTCTAGTAGTATAATAAATCTCCATGTATCCATCATCCAGCTCCAAAAGGGATCAATTTAGAGCCACTATTACTTAATCTGTATTCCATCCTCCTTTCCCTTGCTATGTTCTTAAGAACCAAGGAATGTTTTTCAAAAGTCCTATTTAAAAAAGAATAATTGGAAAGGAGTTTTGGCCTCCTGTGATTTTTCCCCAGACTACTTGGGACCCACCTTTTGGGGTTAAGTGTGGGATCCAGCCTTCCGCAAGGAGTCTGTAAAGGTGGGTGGGTTCCTGTGGAGGAGTACAACAGGTTTTGCTAGAGGCGAGGAAGAGGCAGTGAACAATATCTGTCTGGGAACCATCTTTTATAATTTATTTGGCTCAGCTTTAATATTGGCTGATTGGTTGACTGACTGCTGAGGCTGGGCTTCTTGGGTGGGATCTCACGGAAGCTACATTGTGACGTGGTTTTTATCTGGTATAAAAATGTTTCACCCATTGTGATAGGCTTTAAGGAATTGATTCATATTGATTAAACTAACAAGAAACCAAGCTTACTCATTTTTTAATGTCTGATAAATAACTTACATTTGCAAAAGGTAAACTATAGTCTACAAAGAAGGCTTAATTGGTACAGAGTTTAAAAAGAAAAGGGAATTGCTATTCCCATTGAGCAATAAAGTATTGCTAATATCAATCTCTGTTAATTTGTTTCCAAAGTATAGTTTTTAAAAGAACTGTTTCTCTTGCTTTTAGTGGCGTTTATTTTCAACTGGCTTGGATTTTGTTTATCCTTCTGTATCACCAATACCATCGCTGGAAGGTATGGTGCCATCTGTGGATTTGGCCTTTCATTGATCAAATGGATCCTTATTGTCAGGGTGAGTGTCTTGATAATGTCTATCATTTTTATCTTTAAAATTAAAATATATGAAATGTCCTGTGTAGTTCATAAATTTTATGCATATAAATTCAATTATTTCAAGACTTATTCTTCTAGACTTTATTATTATAGTGATCTCTGTGGTGTGAAAATTTATAACTGTATTTATATGAGAGCTTGCTGGTACAGTAGTCCCTTCATCTGCAGTTTTGCTTCCTTCGGTTTGTGTTATTTGTGGTCAGCCATGGTCTGAAAATATTAAGTGGAAAATTTCAGATATTTTGAGAGAAAGAGAGCGAGCAAGCAAGCACAATCATATAACTTTTATTATAATATACTAGAGGCCCAGTGCACAAAAATTTGTGCACTCGGTGGGGGAGGGGGGGTTCCTCAGCCCGGCCTGTGCCCTCTTGCAGTCTGGGACCCCTCAGGAGATAACGACCTGCTGGCTTAGGCCTGCTCCTGGGTGGCAGAGGGCAGGCCCAATCCCTAGGTGCAGCCCCTGGTCGGGCTCAGAGCAGGGCCGATTGGGGAGTTGGGGCGCCGCCCCCTGTCATGCACAGAGCAAGGCGGATCGGGAGGTTGCGATGCCACCCTCAGTCACGCTCAGGGTAGGGCCGATTGGGGGGTTGGGGCACCGCCCCCTGTCACACTCAAGGCAGGGTCGATGGGGAGGTTGCGGCGCCACCCCTTGTCACGCACAGAGCAGGGCTGATCAGGGGGTTGGGGCGCTGCCCCCTGTCACGCACAGAGCAGGGCCAATCAGGGGGTTGGGACGCCGCACCCTGTCACACACAGAGCAGGGCCGATCAGGGGGTTGGGGCGCCACCACTGTCACACTCGGGGCAGGGCCGCAGGGCAATCAGGGGATTGGGGAGCTCCCCCTATCAGGCACAGAGCAGGGCCCGTGGGGGGGGGTGGTTGGGGCGCCGCACCCTGTCACACACAGAGCCCCAGGGCAGTTAGGAGATTGGGGAGCTCCCCCCTATCAGGCACAGAGGAGGGCTGATCAGGGGGTTGGGGTGCCTTCCCCTGTCACGAACAGAGTAGGGCGGATAGGGAGGTTGTGGCCCCGCCCCCTGTCACACACAGAGCCGCAGGGCGATCAGGGGGTTTGGGCGCTGCCCCCTGTCATGCTGATCCCGGTGCCGGGAGCCTCGCTGCTCCGCTGATCCCGGTGCTGGGAGGCATATTACCCTTTTACTATATAGGATAGAGGCCTGGTGCATGGGTGGGGGCTGGCTGGTTTGCCCTGAAGGGTGTCCTGGATCAGGGTGGGGGTCCCCACTGGGGTGCCTGGCCAGTCTGGGTGAGGGGCTGAGGGCTGTTTTCCGGCTGGCGAGTGACTAAAGCTTCCAACCGCTCCTTGTTTTCTTCTCTTTTTTTTTTTTTTTTTCTGGGCCAGCTTTAGCTCTGAGGCCTCGCTGCTGAAAACATCGATACAATGTTGCGGTCCGAGCCCGGCTGAATGGAAGCCCTTTTCTGGGGTTTTGTTTAGCTTCTTATTTGCAACATAGTATATAGTTGCTTAGACTTGCAGCTGAGAGGCTGGCAAGTAAGGCAGCGAATGTTGGAGTCTGCAGCAAGCAAGCCTCCCTGCTCGCTTCAGTGCCTGGCTGCTGGCCGCCATCTTGGCTGACAGTTAATTTGCATATACTCACTGATTAGCCAATGAAAAGGGTAGCGGTCGTACGCTAATTACCATGTTTCTCTTTTATTAGTGTAGATTGTTATAATTGTTCTATTTTATGTTGTTAATATTTTACTGTGCCTAATTTATAAATTAAACTTTATCATAGGTATGTATGTATCGGAAAAAAACATAGTATATGTAGGGTTCAGTGCTATCCAGTTTCAGGCAACCACTGGGGGTCTTAAGACAGACATATCCCCTGATGATAAAAGGGGACTACTGTATATGGAAAGAACTTTGAAAGCAGAAAAACTTGTTTGGACCTCATCTTTTTTATATCAGGGTGCTAACTTTAAGTTTTTAAATTCTTCTGAGCTTTAGTTTCTTCATAATAGGTTGATAATAGCTGCCTTTCAGGATTTTTGTGAGGTATGGAAATAATATAATTAAGCTCCCATGCCTAGTTGCAGCACAAATACATGTTCTGAGTCACATCACGGCTACCACTATTTTGATATAGTGCAGGCATTTCTAAGTCAGTTAAAACTTAATTTCTATTAGTTAGTAAAATAATCATGGATTTAAATATCTTCTTGCTCTTTATGTTTTTTTAATAACCTAAGAGCTCAAAAGTAAAATTATAGGCTTTTGAAGTGTTTTCTATCAGAACTCACCTTTTCTCCTTTATGTTCCTGCTAAGTCTTCTCATTTTCCTGTTGTTCCTAGAAATCGACCTCTGTCTGCCTCTTATGTACAAGACTAGAGGCCCGGTGCACAAAAATTTGTGCACTCGGGTGTGGGGGGGGGAGGGTCCCTCAGCCCGGCCTGCGCCCATTTGCTGTCCAGGACCCCTTGGGGGATGTCCACCTGTCGACTTAGGCTCACTTCCCGGGGGATCAGGCCTAAGCTTGCAGTCATACATCCTTCTGGCAACCAGGAGCCCTC